AGTGGAGCTGCAAGGCCGGCGGCGGCGGCCGGGACCGATGGGGGCGGGGTGTGTGGCCTTATGACACACTTCCGGTGATGTCAGGGGGTGTGGCATATGCTAATGAGTTGTGCTAATGAGTTCCCCTAGCCCTTTTCCTACGAAACGACCCCTGGATATAATACCGTGACAGAGTCCACCCTGTAGGGTTGCCAACTCTGGATTGGAGAACTCTGGGAGATTTGGGGAGTGGAGCCAGGGGAAGGTGGAGTTTAGAGAGGGACCTCCTCAGGGTATAAGGCCATAGAGTCCGCCCTCCAAAACAGCCATTCTTCAGGGAACTGATCTCTGCCACCTGGAGATAGATAGAATTCCAGGAGATCTCCAGGCCCTACCTGGAGGTTGGCAACCCCAAGTTAGCTCTCTGGGCTCATTTTAAAATGCCCCCCTTCTCCAGCCCCTTTCATCCCCGATTCCGTGCAGTTCTCCCTCCGCAGCAGTTCACCAGTTCTGCACACAAAGCAGATATCCTTATTAACAAATCGGCCTCAGCAATGGCTTAGGGTTGCCAGGTCCTACCTGGCTGCTGCCGGGGTGGGGGGACTCCCGATCCTTCCTGGATTTTTTTTCTGGTGCATGTGCAAAGTGCACGGTCTGCAATGATGTCACCCAGAAGTGACGCCATCATGTTTCCGTCATTGGGGGTGACGCTCTAGGTTTTGGACAAAACTCTATGGCTTTTGGGCCTCGAAACCATAGAGTCTTGTCCAAAACATAGAGCGCCAACCCCAACATTGGAAAGGTGATGACATCACTCCCAGGTGACGTTATAGCACCGGGTGGGGGATTCTCAGGGTCGGGCTTCCCCTGCCGGCCATGGTGGACTGGGGCCCCTGATTGGTGGATTGGAGGGCCCAAAATCGGGGGATCCCCTGACCCCACCGGGGGAATGGCAGTTCTAGCCATGACTGCAGTCCTTACTTGAGAGTAAGTCCCACTGAGTTTTCCCCTCAAATGGCGTGGCCCCGCCCCCAGCGTGCGACGTCACTTCCAGGTGACACGCACGCGGGGGTGGGGTTTCCCCCGGGCCCCGATTCCGTGGGAGCGGAAATCGGGGCTCGAAAGCGGGGGGAATTCCGCTCCCCGGGGGCATTTGGCAGCCCTACATGGAGGCTTGCTGGGTGACCATGAGCTAGTCACTCTCTGTCAGCCTAACCTACCTCACAGGGTTGTTGTGAGGATAAAACGAGGGAAGAGGGGGGAAATAAGGATCCTTGAGTTCCCTGCGGAGAAGGATGGGATAAAATTGTACTAGACATTTCTTACAACATGATCCCACACATATTTTTAGTCATAAAGGAAGTCCCACAGAGTTCAGTGGGACTTACTCTCAAGTAAGGACTGCAGTCACGGCTAGAACTGCCATTCCCCCGGTGGGGTCAGGGGATCCCCCAATTTTGGGCCCTCCAATCCAGCAATCAGGGGCCCCAGTCCACCATGGCCAGCAGGGGAAGCCCGACCCTGAGAAGCCCCCACCCGGTGAGGACAAAACGACCCTGAGAAGCCCCCCGCTCCCGGCCAAAAACCATTTGGCAACCCTACCTCATGGCAGAGCAGGGATTAGAACCCAGGTCGTGCAGATTCTAGCCCAGCCCTCTAACCACTGCACCACACTGACCACTAAGAATTATCTTGTTTGAATAGACTAGAAGTCAGGGTCTTTGTCTCTGACAGTGGCCAACCTGATATCACTTGGGGTTTGATTCAGTGGTGTTCTGCTGGAAATTCTAGCATCGGGTTGGAGACCAAAACCAGCTAAACAGTGGGTTGAAGGTGGTTTGGAAAAGGGTTTCACTTCCTCTATCTGTGTACATACAGTTCTTTTGTCAGCCAAGTATAGGGCTGCCAGGTCTGGGCTGGAAAATACCTGGAGACTTTGGGGGTGGATCCGGGAGAGGGCGGGTTTTTAGGGAGGGGAGGGGCCTCAGCATGGTATGATGCCACAGAGTCCACCCTTCAAAGCAGCCATTTTCTCCAGGGGAACTGATCTCTGTCAGCTGGAGATTGGTTGTAAAGCAGGAGATCTCCAGGTCCCACCTGGAGGCTGGCAACCCTAGCCTAGCCTATCAAAAACTGACTTTCCAAATGTGGAACAGGGGTGCACACCACAAAGGAGACGC